CCCCATTATCTTTGCCTAGATTAGGTGTTTTAAAAAAAAACAAATAAAATCTTTCAACATTGAAGTTGCTGTTTAGTGGATAGGTGAGTGCGCTGGATCTTGTGTATTGTTATATCTATATAATATATGTCTATATATCATATATATAATGTCATACTAAGTGTATTTTTATATTAATATGTACATATATTAATATAAAAATACACTTATAATTAAATTACACATGTATATATATAATATATATAATAACTATATATATTGTATATATATATATTATTATAAAATACAAATAATAAGTAGATTAAATTAAATAAAAAAATTAAAAATAATAATAAAAATTAAAAACATTATATATCTATATGAAATTTTATTCTAACTGTATTTTTATATTAAAATATATATATTTGTATCAAACTACACTTAGAATGAAATTGTATATATATCTATGTATATATAAATAAATAAAAATAATACGAAATATACATATGTCCATATACACAATTACATAAATAATTATATAAATATACACGTAGACTTCAAATATATAAATATGCATATATATTTAAATTCTACGTGCGTATTTATGTAATATTTTTACATAATTAAGTAATTTTATTAATTGCAATTTGAGGGACCTGCCTGCCAATCCAGGCCAAAAGTCCAGAGAATTTAATTTGCTAGCACTGTATTTTACCCTGTAACTTTCTATGACACCCTAAAACCCGTACATGGGGGTTACCGTTTTACTCGGGAGACTTCGCTGAACACAAATATTAGTGATTCAAAACAGTAAAACATATCACAGCGATGATATTGTCAGTGAAAGTGACTTTTTTTTCGCATTTTTCACACACAAACAGCACTTTTACTGATGATATAATTGTTGTGATATGTTTTCCTGTTTTGAAACAATAATATTTGTGTTCAGCAAAGTCTCCCAAGTATAACAGTACCCCCCATTTACAGATTTTATAGCGTTTTTGAAAGTTACAGGGTCAAATACATGGGTCAAATATTTTAACATTGAAAATGGCCAGGTTGGTTACATTGCCTTTGAGAGCGTATGGTAGCCCAGGAATGAGAATTACCCCCATGATGGCATACCATTTGCAAAAGAAGACAACCACTTAGTAGCCACTTAGTCACAAACACTGGCCAAAATTAGCATTCAATTTACTTTTTTACTTTTTACACACACAAACAAATATGAACGCTAACTTTGGCCAGTGTTTGCGACTAGGTGGCTACTAAAAAAACTGGACATACCCCATATTGAATACCCTGGGTTGTTTACTTTAAAAAAAATATGTACATGTGGGGTGTTATTCAGAGATTTATGACAGATAATGGTGTTACAATGTCACTATTGATAAATTTGAAAAAATTTATGTTTTGAAACCGCAATATCCTACTTGTACCTATAGCCCTATAACTTGCAAAAAAAAAAGAAAAAAAGCACGTAAACACTGGGTATTTTAAAACTCAGGACAAAATTTTGAATCTATTTAGCAGTTTTTTTAATTTGCTTTTGTAGATGAGTAAAAGATTTTTTTTTTTTCATTTAGCATAATAGTCGGCAGAATGTGTCAGGGATTATGATCCAATCTCATCTTAAATGTTATGTGCTAGTTGTCATCCTAATCACCCGACCTCAATGAGATATAGCTACCACTCATATTAAACGATTGGCTTTTAGGCACATTGCTATATGTCACAATTCTGACTTGTTTTATTATTATGCAGCTTGTATTACCCATGTCTTTCTTAAACCTTATGTTCTTACAATACTTAGACAGGAATGTTTCACTTTTGATGATGATTTAAAACCTGCAAATCTCTTGAAATGACCTGTTATGTACCTGTTATTTATCTTGTTGCATTAAAGGGACACTGTAGTCACCTAGACCACTTCAGCTCAATGAAGTGGTCTGGGTGCCAGGTCCCTCAGGTTTTAACCCTTCAGATGCAGACATAGCTTTACATTTGGGGTTAATCCAGCCTCTAGTGGCTGTCTTCCGGAAATGCTTTCCTATGGACACTTTGAATGCGCGTGCGGCACTTGCCGCGCATGCGCAATCGGCTCCACTGATGTTGGACAGGGGGGAATGACATGTGACGGGGAGGAGAGGTCACCAGCGCCGAGGGAGCCCGACACTGGAATAAGGTAAGCTGCTGAAGGGTTTTTAACCCCTTCAGCGACACAGGAGGCACTATAGTGTCATGAAAACCGCTTTGTTTTCCTGACACTATAGTGATCCTTTAACTATTATTGTTATGTCTTTAGAAGCTCGTATACCTCTCTAAGCACTAGAAAAAAAAAAACACACAGAAACTCACTCACTGACATACACTCACTCACCGACAGATACACAGACACTCACTGATAGACACACACACACACAGACACTCACTGACAGACGCACACACAGACACCCACTGACAGACATACACAGACACTTACTGACAGACACACACACACACAGGCTCTCACTCACTGACATACGTACACTTACTCACTGACAGACACACACAGAGGCAGACAAACACTCACACACTCACTGACAGACACACACACACACACGCAGACAGAAACTCACTGACATACATACACTCACTCACTGACAGACACACACACAGGCAGAACCTCACTGACATACATACACTCACTCACTGACAGACACACACACTGGCAGACATACACTGACTGACAGACACACACTCACTGAAATACATACACTCACTCACTCACTGACAGACACACACACAGGCAGACACACACTGACAGGCACACACACTCACTCACTAACAGACTCACACACAGGCAGACACACACTGACTGACAGGCACGCACTCACTGAAATACATACACTCACTCACTGACAGACACACACACAGGCAGACACACACTGACAGGCACACACTCACTCACTAACAGACACCCACACAGGCAGACACACACACACACACACACACACTGACAGTCAAACACTCACAAACTCACTGACAGACACACACACACACACACACAGGCAGACACTCACTGACATACATGCACTCACTCACTGACAGACAGACACACAAACACACTCACTGACAATCAAACACTCACACACTCACTGACACAGACATCCAACCTAATTACCTCCCAGGGGTCCAGTGTGGGGCAGCTTTTCACTCCTCCAGTGCTCTGTTTAGTATGTCGGGGCCGGAATGATGTCATATTCCGGCTCCCGGCATCACAGAGGGCATGTGAGGGAGGAGTGGGACGTTGGAAAAAGAGCTGCCACACTGCCTTCTGCCTGCCTCCCCTCCTCTGCCAGCATTCATTGGCAGAGCAGGCATCTGCCATCAGGGTAAGCAGGTGTCTTGTCTGCCATACCAAAAAACAGACAGCTTTGGGGGCACCCTGAGGTGGCCATATGGCCACCTCCTGGGCCCCCTGTGACATGGCTCCTCCGGGCGCCCCCATTTTTGGGCGCCTGGAGGATCAGCCCGGCACTGGGGGATGGAGGGGGGCGGCCCTAGAGCTGCTCGCCCAGCGCTGCAGCTCAGGACAGGGGGAGTCCACCAGGTAATATCCCGGTGAGTGCCCCCAGCAGGTCGGCGCCCTAGGCAAAACGGTGGCGCTGGCCCTAAAAATATGGATAATGTGTGGTTTTCAGGGACATATCTCGATAGGAGACCATGGGGAGTAGTTGACTTTGAGTGTAATGAGCTTTTAGGATGTTCTCAGGTGTGATATTGAGAAAGTGTGTCTTCCATTTCTCCAGACCCGTTTGTAATATGTTCCAGTCAGGAGTATACATGTACATGAAAGTCTGTGTACCAGGGTGGGGGAAGGTCTGTGAAGTGTTCTTTGAGTCAGCCTATAGTGAGAAATTTTGGGGGATCAAAATCTACAAAGAAACTTAACGATGTGATACTATGCCTTGGCCATACAGTGAATAGATATGTATTGGATCCATTTTGGAACTCAGTTTTCTGGAGTAGGGGCAGATGAAGGGAAAAATGTGGGTTTGCTGCTAGTTAAGCGCCAGCCAACTTCGAAGCCCAAATTGTGTTGGCCTGCTTCTCTCATGTTTGAGAGAATGTGGTCTGTGTAGCAAAGCTGGCAGGGAGTCAGGCAGTGTTAGAAAGGATTCCAATGTTAGATCTTGACTGTGATTGGATTCAGATATCTCTCATATGGCTCTTAGCATTACATTTACATTACATAGATTGCTATACATTTTTTAAATACTTGATTTTATAAATACTTATTCTACTCACTGTATGTGGGCATTAAGCTCAAATGCAGACAATTATACATACTGTTGCCATTTTTTTTGTAAGAGATACTGCTCTGCTGGTAATACCATAAGAGTCCTTACAAATACCAGGATTTTATATTTATCTATTTTATCACAACTGTGAGTAAAATTGTATTTTAGCATTTCAACTAATATTTCAGACTGGGGTTAAGGTATACCACATATTGTTTAAACCTTTCTATTCTCCCAATATTTCTGCAAAAATGAATATATGATTTTTTTTAAGTGCATTTTTTTAAAACTGTTGCCTGAACAACAATCTATAGCGAATACTGCTGTTTGATCATATGTTTATGTGCTATCTATGCAAAACAAAATATTTCTTTGTAATGATCAGGGTTTTTAATCTTCCTTGCACAAACTACATTAAAATGTCAGATCAGATTATTGATATGTCATTTAGTTATCACAATATATAGCAAAGATTATCTTGGTTCATAATGTACCCAACTTCTATTTAGCTAATCAAAGAGCACATAATACCCTGCAATCACTTTGCAGTTGGAAAACAAAATATTTATTAAGAGATTTACATTATGCCATAAGAAATATAAGACATTTCTGTTATGTGTTTTATAGTTGAGAGACTGTGCCAAGCAATGCACTGGGTACTGTACCTGACACTCCCCTACATACAGTATAAATGCATGCCCATTCCTGGCACTAAGCTCTGGGTATCCCACAGAGGTTATGTGCACAGAACGAATCCTGGTGCTGACCTTCCTCTGTGTGTGGGGCAGCGAGGTGACAGCTATAGATGGTTCTGATGGGTACAAGACTCCGGATTTCTGTAAAGGGTTTAAGTGCCCCAGATATCGAGTGGTGGAGAAGCATGAAGTAAGTAGGTTCTCATCATTTTAACATGTGGGTTTTCTGTTTATTTGGTTTAACCCATGGGTATTATAGAAGTATTTTTGTTTTCACCTTCACCAGGAGTTATACATGTCATATTTTCTTGAAGCCTTACTAGACTGATGTAGTAAAAAAAAAACAAGAAAAAAAACAACAACTGTGTATACAAAGCCAAAAACAGAAGAAAGGAGTTGAATACATAAAAAGGAACACCAAAGTGGAAATATAAACAAAATAAAAAAATAAATACGACCTAAATATATAATAATTCAATGCATAAGAATAAATCTCCTACCTGAAAAATAAAAAAGTGCAATATAGCACACAATAATGCAAAAGGTGAGTGGTGGAAGAGAAATCAAAGAATGAGCAGAAATAATGATTATATTGTAACAATGGCACCTGTCAAGGGGTGGGATATTTTAGGCAGCAAGTTAACATTTAGTTCTTGAATTTCATGTGTTGGAAGCAAGAAAATGGGCAATTGAAACATCTGAGTTCCATTAACAAGGGACATATGGTGATGGCTAGACGACAGAGCTTCTCCAAAACGGCAAGTCTTTGGGGTTTTCGCAGGAAGCAGTGGATAGTACCTACCAAAAGTGGCGCAAGGAAAGACAACTGGTAAACTGGCTTCAGGGTTATGGGCATCCCAAGGCTCATTGATGCATGTCGGGAGTGAAGGCTAGTCTGTCTGGTCTGATAACACAGAAAAGTTACTGTAGCTCACTTTTCTAAAAAAATGTAATACGGGCCATGATAGAAAGGTATAACACAGTGCCTTGCTGTTTGCTGCATATGGGGCTGCGTAGCCGCAGACCAGTCAGAGTGCCCATGATGACCCCTGTCCACCACCAAAAGTGCCTTCAAGAGGGTATGTGAGCATCAGAACTGGACCATGGAGCAAATAGAAAAATCATGTTTTTGTTTACATCAGGTGGATGGCCATCTCTACCTGGGAACGAGACAGTAGCAGGATGCACTATGGGAAATAGGTAGGCTGACTGAAGCAGTGTTATAATGTGGGCAATGTTCTGCAGGGAAACCATTGGTGCTGGCATTCATGTGGATGTTACATTGACATATATCACCTACCACCAGATTGTTGCAGACCACGTACACCACTCCATGGCAATGGTGTTCCCCGATGACAGTGGCCTCTTTCAGCAGGTTAATGCACCCTGCCACATTGCAAAAAACTTTCAGAAATGGTTTGAAGAACAAGAAAAGTAGTGTTGCCTTGGCCTACAAACTCCCAAGAACAATTGGATCAACATCAATTCGAAGCCAATCAGTGATGGTGGGGGCCCCATCTTCTAGCACCCAGCATTATTGCATGGTCTTAAGGACCTGCTAAAAATGCTTATTCCATAAATGCACACAGAGATCCATGCTTTCATACCACTGACTCGACAACTCTGTCATGTTTGAGCTCAGTGTTTTGTGCCAAAACTGTGGAGAAAAATATTTATTTTCATCCCCCTGAAAAGTTCTTCTCACCATAGCCCCATGTTTTCTTACACCTATGACAAAATAAGAGTTTTCAGCTTTATAAAGCATGATAGGCATAAGCAGGATTCAGAAAGAAGAGTAAGCAATACACCCTGTTCCAAATTATTATGCAAATGATCTTTTTCTCATTTACCTAAATAATTGATGTAAATAACAGTCAGCATAATTCTCATGTTATCAACTATTAAGAGTACAATTCAAATTTTATTGAACAAACCTCCTAATGATAACAGTATTTTTTTTAAACATAAAAAACTTACAATGCACTGTTCCAAATTATTACGCACAGTAAGTTTCAAAACACTTTATAGGTTGTAAAGAACTGAAAATTGTCATTTGTTGTGTTTGCAGCATATTTACTGAAATCAAAAGCTATTTCAATCAAACTTATAACAATATTTTAACTTTTTAAACATTTTAACAGGTCACATTACATTTTAACATAGGACCCCTTATTTGATAGCAGCTTCACAAGTCTTGCATCCATTGAACTTGTGAGTTTTTGGACAGTTTCTGCTTGAATTTGTTTGCAAGATGTCAGAATAGCCTCCCAGAGCTGCTGTTTGGATGTAAACTGCCTCCCACCCTCATAGATCTTTTGCTTGAGGATGCTCCAAAGGTTCTCAATAGAATTGAGGTCAGGGGAGGATGGAGGCCACACCATGACTTTCTCTCCTTTTATCCCCATAGCAGCCATTGATGCAGAGGCATTCTTTGCAGCATGAGATGGTGCATTGTCATGCATGAAGATGATTTTATTACGGAAAGCATAGTTCTTCCTTCTGTACCAGGGAAGAAAGTGGTCAGTCAGAAACTCCCCATACTTTGCAGAGGTCATCTTTACACCTTCGGGGACCCTAAAGGGGCCGACCAACTCTCATCCCATGATTCCGGCCCACAACATGACTCCACAACCGCCTTGCTGACATCGCAGCCTTGTTGGAACAGGATGGCCGTCCACCGACCTTCCACTACTACATCCATCTGGACTACACAGGGTTGCACAGCACTCATCAGTGAACAGGACTGTTTGAAAATTAGTCTTCATGTATGTATGTTCTGCCCAATGCAGCCGTTTCTGCTTGTGAGCTTTGGTTAGTGGTGGCCGAATAGAAGGTTTATGCACAGTTGCAAGACTCTGGAGGACTCTACACCTTGATGTCCGTGGGACTCCAGAGCCACCAGCAGCTTCAAATATCTGTTTGCTGCTATGTAATGGTATTTTAGCAGCTGCTCTCTTGATCCAAAGCATGGTTCTGGTAGAAATCTTCCTTAATGTGCCTATATCTGCACGAACCCATCTGTGCTCTGAATCAGCCACAAATCTCTTAACAGTGTGATCACGCTTAAGTTTTCGTGAAATATCTAATGTTTTCATACCTCGTCCAATGCAATAAACTATTTCACTCTTTTTGGCAGCAGAGAGATCCTTTTTCTTCCCCATATTGCATGAAAATGGTTTTCTGCTTAATAATGTGGAACACCCTCCTTTAGTAGTTTTTCCTTAAATTGGGCTCACCTGGTAATCTAATTATCACAGGTGTCCGAGATTGTTTTCAGTGATCAAAAGAGCCCTGAGACACAATGCCATCCATGAGTTAAACTGAAAAACAAAATATTTAATCTTTGTGACACTTAAATAGAATTTGCATAATAATTTGAAACAGGGTATATAGACAAACAGGGCTATTTACTAAATTTAAAATGACTGAATTCTGACTCGATTGACAATTTTTACATTTACTATAGCCATAACTGATTCTAATTTACAGAAAACATGAGGCATCCTGAAGCAATTCCTTTCTTTGAGCCCCACCAAACCATAGTTTTTTTTAGGATTTAAAAAAAAAAAAAATATTAATATTAATAATAATAAAGGTGTCTAGGGACCCATTGATTTTATTCCCAAGATATCTGCTATGTATGGGTAGGCTAGTATATTAAGGAATACTTACCTTCGAAGTGCCATCTACATTTTTGAAGTGCCATCTCTATAAGTTTGTCTTGTGAGTTTAACCATTAAATAGATTATATCTCACTACCTGTATTGTACTACTCTATGTGTGTCTCATATTCTATACCTGGAGATCAACGTTGTTGGGGTGGTGCATATTTAACGACATAGAGGAGCCCTGACTCTATCTACAGTGTTTGGAACGCTTAAAGGATAATACCTTTTGCATATTTATGTTATCACACTCTCAATTGGAGGTATGTGGGTCTTGCTTTTGGTATTTTTGTATACTAAGTAGTCTAGTCATTAAAAAAATTAATTGAGGTAAATTGAGGAGCAATATTATTAAGGTGTCTAAGGACCCATTAATTTTAATTCTTAATATCGTCTCTAAATGTGTAGGCTAGTATACTACGGGGTCGGGTAGCTAAAAAGGGAATTGAGGTGAATTGAGTAGCAACATTTAAGCCAGGGGCAGGCAACCTTCAGCATACCAGATGTTGTGGACTACATTTGGCCTAATGCTTTGCTAGCATTTGTGGCTGTAAATGCATTATGAGAGATATAATCCAGAACATCTGGAGTGCCGAAGGTTGCCTATCCGTGATCTGTGCCAACATACTTGATATCAGAAGAATTGAATGGAAGAAATTCTCCAGTTCTGCTGTTTTCGCCAAGGTCAGTCCTTACCATGCCAATAGAAACTTTTGTGAGTCACTCTATACCCCCTCGTACCCTTCTGGGTATCTTTGGATCCTCATTGTGTGTCTCTCCTCATCCCCCATTTCCACTTTGTGTGTCTCTTAACCCACTGTTACTTCTTTGAAACATAGAAACATAGAATGTGATGGCAGATAAGAACCATTCGGCCCATCTAGTCTGCCCAATTTTCTAAATACTTTCTTTAGTCCCTAGTCTTATCTTATAGTTAGTATAGCCTTATGCCTATCCCACACATGCTTAAACTCCTTTTCTGTGTTAACCTCCACCACTTCAGCTGGAAGGCTATTCCATGCATCCACTACCCTCTCAGTAAAGTAATACTCCCTGATATTATTTATAAACCTTTGGCCCTCTAATTTAAGACTATGTCCTCTTGTTGTGGTAGTTTTTCTTCTTTTAAATATATTTGTGTCTCTAAATTCCCCTAACTTCTTGTATGTCTTAACTCATCTTACCCTTTTCCCACCTACTCACATGTACACTGTCACATGCATACATACCTAGGCATTTACTAATACACACATGACCAAAGTCACATACATAGATACACAAAATCATGTAGTCACATACATATACAAACACACACATAGTCACAATATATATAACTACACAATTACACACAGACAGCCACAGTCATACATAGTCACATACACACAGTATGTATGCACAGTCACATAAATACAGTAACAGTACATACACACAGTCATATACACAGTATCAGCCCAGGGCCGGCGCCACCTGTAAGGCGACCTAGGCAGCCGCCTAGGGCGCAACTTAGCAGGGGGCACCGGATCCCTGCACCCTGCGGCTCCTCATGCTGCACCGCCTGAGCGCTTTAGCAAGCCCCAGGCGGCGCGGCATTGCTGTGTGGAGGGCGGCCAGGTTTGTGACCGGCAGGAGGGAGGCGCAGAGCGCTCCCTCCTGCCGGTCTCTCAATGTAGCGTGGCCGGGCGGCGCGGAACGCGGGACAGGAACCTCTGTTTCCTGTACCCGGCCGCCGGCGGAATGACAGGAAGTGCTCACTGAGTGAGCACTTCCCTTCAGTCCGCCGGCGGCCGGGTACAGGAAACAGAGGTTCCTGTCCCGCGTTCCGCGCCGCCCGGCCACGCTACATAGGCAGGAGGGGAGGGGGTAAGGACCATTAGGGGAGGGGGGGGGGAGTGGGAGGGAGTAAGGACCATTAGGGGAGGCGACCATTGGGGAGGGGAGGGAGGCGACCATTAGGGGAGGGGGGAGTGGGGAGGGAGAAGGGACCATTAGGGAGGGGAGGGGGAGTGGGAGGGAGTAAGGACCATTAGGGAGTGGGGAGGGAGGCGACCATTAGGGGAGTGGGGGAGGGAGTAAGGACCATTAGGGAGGGGGGAGGGGGAGGGAGTAAGTGACCATTAGGGAGTGGGGAGGGAGGCGACCATTAGGAGGGGGGAGGCGACCATTAGGGAGTGGGGAGTGGGGAGGGAGGCGACCATTAGGGAGGGAGGGGGAGGGGAGGGAGTAAGCGACCATTAGGAGTGGGAGGGAGGCGACCAGGGAGGGGGGGGGAGGCGACCATTAGGGAGGGGGGGAGTGGGGAGGGAGGCGACCATTAGGGAGGGAGGGGAGGGGAGGAGCAAGGACCATTAGAGTGGGGGGAGTGGGAGGAGAAGGCAATCCAGGGGTGGGGAGGCGACCATTAGGGGAGTAAGGACCATTAGGGAGGGGGGGAGTGGGGAGGGAGTAAGGACCACAGGGGAGGGGAGGGGGAGGGGGAGGGAGGGGGGGGAGTGGGGGAGGAAGCAGACCATTAGGTGGGGGGGAGGCGACCACAGGAGGGGGGAGGAGGAGGCGACCATGGGGAGGGGGGGAGGCGACCATTAGGCGAGGGGGAGGCGACCAGCTAGGGAGGGGGAGTGGGGAGGGAGGCGACCATGGGGGGAATGGGGAGTAAGGACCATTAGGGAGTGAGGGGGGAGCAAGGACCATTAGGGGAGGGGAGTGAGTAAGGACCATTGGGGAGGGGGGAGTAAGGACCATTAGGGAGGGACGGGAGGCGACCATTAGGGAGATGGGGAGGGGAGGGAGTAAGGGACCATTAGGAGGGGGGGAGGCGACCATGGGGAGGAGGGGGAGGCGACCCGCTAGGGAGGGGGGAGTATGACCGTGGGGAATGGGGGAGTAAGGACCATTAGGGGAGTGGGGGGGAGTAAGGACCACTAAGGGGGAGAAGGACCACCAAAGGGGGGTAAGGAGGGAGGACCACTAAGGGAGGGGGAGGGTAATGACCACTGAGGGGGGGGGATTACCACTAAGGGGGTGGGGGGAGGAGGGGAAGGTCTACTAAGGGGTTTGGGAGAGGGAGGACCACTAAGGGAAGGGATGGAGGACCACTAAGGGAGAGAGGGGGAGTGAGAAGACCACCAAGGGGGGACTGCAGAGGGACAGGGGGCCAAGGGAGAGCACTAAGGGACAGAAGGGGTAGAACATGGAGGGACAGGAGGGAAGGGGAAATCAATAATTGACAGGAGGGGAGAGCACTATGAAATTTTTTTTAAAAAATAAAGAGCTGTTCCCCTCTCAGTCCCTATCCTACCCCACAAACCCTCTCTTTTACACTACATACAAACACAATGCATCCCCCCCTACACACACACACACACACAGAAACATACAATGCATTCCTACTCACACACAGACACACCCGAAACACACAATGCATCCCTTACGTTCACACAAACACTCATTCTCTTAGACACAGAAACAAAATGCATCTCTTACACAATCAATGCACCCCTTACAGACACACACTGCATTCAATTACATACACAGAAACACACCTTGCACCCCTTACACACACAGAAACATACAATGCATTCCTTACGCGCAAACACACACTACATCCCCTATAAACACACTACATCCCTTGTACAAATTGGTATCCCTATACACTACATTCTATAAGAACACACACACATTGCATCCTCTACAATAACACATAAAACATCCCTACACACATACACTACACTTCCTGTGAGAGAACTCATGGGTGGGCCATGTAGGTATTTATGGCTGGGCATTGTAGGCATACTCATGGTCAAGCCCTGGGGGCCCAGACCTTGAGCTGTGTAAGGGGCCCTAAAAAATGGAGCTGCTTCCTGTTCGTTAATTGTTGTGAGCACTGTTAAAAACAGTCTCCAGAGAGCCTCTTCTACACCAGACCTGTGGAGCCAGACTGAGCCCATCATCAGCCTCTTGTCCTCATCTGGTGGTAAGTAGGCAATCCAATATATTATTAGTGGCACTAATCTCACATTAAATGGATACTATAGTCACCAGAAGCACTACAGCATAATGTAGTGGTTCTGGTGTCTATAGCCTGTGCCTGTAGGCTTTTTAATGTAAACACACTGTCTTTTCAGATAAAAGACACTTTGTGAAGACTGGCGTTGGCCCATATGGGCGGGGCATTGTGATGTTACATGGTGGGCAGGACATGGGGGGGTGGGGGGGCGGCAAATTTTTATTTGCCTAGGGCGGCAAAAATCCTTGCACCGGCCCTGTATCAGCCACATTCACACAGACAGTCACATAAACTGTAACCTTCACATTCGCACAGTATCAGTCACACACAGTCATACACACAGAGACAGACATACTCAATATCAGTTACATAAACACAGTGACATACACACAAAACAAAATAAAATAAATGTCAGGCATCATGATTAAAGGTAACACAGATGAAATTCTCCATTTAATTAATTCTGCATGCATGGGTTTATTGCAGAACCCTTGGATGGAGCACCGATAAGAGATTGGGGGCCTTTTGAGTTTATGCTGTGCATCCTGTATACAGTTTTCCTATACACACAAACACAATCAATTACAGTCACAGACAGAGTCAATCACATACATACAGTAATATTCACCTACACATATTCACACATACAGTCTCACATGGTCCTTAAAGGACCACTATAGTGCCAGGAAAACATACTCGTTTTCCTGGCACTATAGTGCCCTGAGGGTGCCCCCACCCTCAGGGACCCCCTCCCGCCCGGCTCTGGAAGGGGAAAGGGGTAAAAACTTACCTTTTTCCAGCGCTGGGCGGAGAGCTCTCCTCCTCCTCTCCTCCTCCGTTCCGCCCCGTCGGCTGAATGCGCACGCGCGGCAAGAGCTGCGCGCGCATTCAGCCAGTCGCATAGGAAAGCATTTCATAATGCTTTCCTATGGACGCTGGCGTGCTCTCACTGTGAAAATCACAGTGAGAAGCACGCAAGCGCCTCTAGTGGCTGTCAATGAGACAGCCACTAGAGGATTAGGGGAAGGCTTAACCCATTCATAAACCTAGCAGTTTCTCTGAAACTGCTATGTTTATAAAAAAATGGGTTAACCCTAGAAGGACCTGGCACCCAGACCACTTCATTAAGCTGAAGTGGTCTGGGTGCCTAGAGTGGTCCTTTAATGTGATGGATAATATTGGGAGCAGGGAGTAGGATAGGAAGTCAAAGTCCCTGCTATCTAGTGGTGAAGAAGCACACACTCCCTGCTGCTTCCATTATGTGTGTTGCATTGTTTCCAGACAGTGGCATATTACTCTGCACTGACTGCCTGCATCAGACACAGATACCTGCCATGGATGCAGGTAGTACACCACACGGGGTGGCCCATTCAGCCTTGTAGCACCCCCTCAATCTGGTGTATGGTGACAATTACCCCCCTCTGACCCCTTTGCTACATTACTGGAAATTTGGTCATCCCATCTAAACTGGCAGTGTCTGGTTTCAAATCAGTGCCCATTCCTTTTGCAAGTATATTATCCAGAAAATGTACCAATTTTAAGCATAATTGGGAGTAATTGCATCCTGTAGGACGAACATTTGCAAATTATTGTTTCCTTGTTTTGATAATGATCAGTACTATTTGCCTGCTGGCAGAGACAGCAGCCCGGAGGCAAAGCGTTACAAACCCTTGATGGTGCAAAGGTTAAGTTATGTAGCAGCTGGCCAGCGCTTTAAATACAAAAAAATGCCTTAGGGCAATATGACAATAGGACTGGTTTGGGAGCCACTCTACTAAATGGTTCTGTCTAAAAGGGTTACTCCAACCACCATGACCACTTCACTGATTTAAGTGGGCATGGTAGTAGGAATCTGTATGTGCAGTAATTCTGCTTCAAACGCTGCACATACAGAAAAATCTGCACTTGTGTGCCAGGGGCTAATTACACACCCAGCACATATGACTTTGGCAACCTGGAACTCTGTTCTGGTCTGCCTAATGTCAATTCTGTCCATAAAATATGCCCTTCGTCAAATCGCACTACACACTGGCAATGGATATGTTGAGCTCCTCACAATCTCCTTCTCAACCTACTTTTGCTGGTTCAGATTGTGCGCATGCGCTCTGAGCTGGCAAAATTTTCCAATGCAGGCTTTCCTGTGAGAAGCCTTTGCTTGGACTGCACAAGGCCCTGGCTGGTGCCAGATATAGGTTTGTAAAGCTGAAGCAAGAGCTTTGCCTGGCAATGGATTCCAGGTAAGTAAAAAAAAATGTTTACAGTGTTAATGAAAAATTTACTGGGGTGACCTAATTAATAGGGCACTTGAAATAGAAAAATGCCCCCTCCCCCTTCCCTCTAAAAGGGTTGTAGTAACCCTTTAAGATAGCAATTTAAGCTGGGCCAGTATATAATAAAGAAAGAACTTGTTTTGCCCCCCTGCCTCCATCCGTTGGTTTTGGATTAGGGGTTAAATGTTAATAATGGGTGATGAACAGACCACTATCCACCCACTGTCCCCACCAGTGGTCAAGTGGATGGGAGTTCTAATGTTATACGTGTCGGTGGATGTCTGTGTCCACTCAAGCTCCAATCTGGGTGGGACGCATTAAAATGCCCACTCACTGCTTTTTTTATGGTGTTTTTATGGTGTTTTTTGCCGGGCTCTAAGGTGAGGAAGGGGTTAATCCTTTACCTTTTCTCCACCGCCGGGCTCCCTCGGTGCTGGGGACTCTCCTCCTCCATTCCCCGTCAATGGCTGAATGCGCATGCACGAGCATTCAGCCAGTCCATAGGAAAGCATTCTCAATGCTTTCCTATGGACGCTGGCGTCTTCTCACTGTGAAAATCACAGTGAGAAGCGCGGAAGCACCTCTAGCGGCTGTCAATGAGACCCAATGAAACTGCTATGTTTACAGCAGAAAGGGTTAATCCTAGATGGACCTGGCACCCAGACCACTTCATTAAGCTGAAGTGGTCTGGGTGCCTATAGTGGTCCTTTAATTGGAGCTTGCTAAGCAAAATATGAACACTGTTAAAAACTATGAACAATGCCTACAGTTCAGTTTCAGTTTGAAGAGCCCATTTTGTACAGGGCTATTTGCACTTCAGGAATAACCCTGATAGAGTTGGTAACTGCAGAATAGTATCTTGTAAATATACTTTACTGTAGTATCTATGCTTTATGTGGAGTGATGAATTTTAATGTGAAAACAAACCTGACAATACCTCTGCTCATATAATGGAGAAAGTGAACAGGATATAATGAGAGAAAAAATCATATTAGTTATGATTGTCTATGATGGTGGTCACTGATCTTACTATAGTAATAATTACCTGTATAACCCTGTCTGGTTTTCAGAAATTCGAGGTACGAGACTATGAGCCAACAAACTGGGCAACAACCATTGTAGACTTGTCGTCTGATGTAGTACCTCAAAGTGATCGTCTCTACCAGTATATCAGAGGAGCAAATAAAAAAGGTTTGGCATTTACTGTGTTTTGTATAGCATATTATTTCTTAACCACCTTTATTATAAAAAATGCAATATATAATATAACTCTTACCTGAAAAGGGGTTCTAGTAAGTCTTGACAAAATTCTTACATAGCAGCATTTTAAATTTTGACTTTAACTAAATTATTCCTATTATAAATAGAATAATTAAAATAAATCAGGGGAGAGTTTAGAGTTGAAACACAGACAGGAGTTCAGAACACAGGTAAGCAACAGAACACGGGCAAGTCAAGAGAAGAGAATGCGGAATTCAATTCTTCACAGATCGGCCTGAGGACTGAAAACCTGAAATGCAAAATGTTAAAGCAAATTAGTGGCAGGAGTAGCAGTAAGGTGAACACACACTATGGATGGCCACAATTTAAATATAGAGCATCAATAACACAATGCCTAAGATAATTCAAGGTACAGTATGTGAAGCTAGAGCTCCTCGTTCATGCATTACCTAGAAGACATTTATATGGCATGTTCCACTATTAGATGAAGAAATGAATACAAACAGTATATGGAGTGTGCTTTGCAATAGTTAGTATATATATGCAGCTTTTCCCAGTGTCTAAAATCACTCTAAAGAAACCAATACAATTAAAATGCAGAATAACCACAAATAGGGGGCGCAATTTATACCACCCTGAAGACAGTGAATGATACTTATAGAATGTCCTCTTTCAATTGGGGTAATAGGCATCAGAAATAGAAGCAAATCTGGATATAAAACACACCCAACAAAACTCTCATAGTGCAACAATGTTACAATACATATATTATAGGGTGTAATCGGCCACTCACACTTTGCAGAGCCACGTATAGCAGACTCCGGCTATAATGGTTTTAAGTAGTGATATATTCTTCTAGTCTCCCCCTTTTTTACTCGACTCTCCACAATTGGGAATGATGCAGGTACCTCAATAGGTGTTTTAGAAAAAACTGACTTTAATGAAGAATAAAATAGCAAACAAAAATAGCACAAACCATATATATAATAGTCCAGAATAAGCATGCAACGATTCAACTAAATAGTCTTCCTTTTGGTGCATACTGGCTCAATTGAGCCTCCATACTTTTAAGCTTCCAGTTTGAAAATTGCATTAGGCTCCCATTTTCGGCACTGGTTCTGTTCTTCCTCCGACTTCCAGTATGTGTAATGACGCTCTCATGTTCTGATGCCACTCAATGTGAAGCTGTCTATATGTGACACTCTGCCTTTGTCTGTTCTTTGCTGATGGTTGCTCCTCCACACGTGACCCATAGAGGCAATGTCCTCAATTTTCAAGGGTCCAATCTCATTCTTTTGCTCAGATAAACTTGCTGACTCCTCAAAGACACAGGACCCCAAAAATTACCCCCTTACTCCATCCTTATGAGGTTTCCTCACCTCCTCACAGAGATAGGCTGCATGATCAATACTTCATCTTCTAGCTCTCTGATATCGGACCATGACTCATACCAACTACCTGGCCAATTACACACTACATGCCTCAATCTGCAACTCCTAAGTGATGAGTTATAGGGCCTCACTAATCTTATTGGTCAGCTGGAGGTGGACAGTGACAACCTGCTGGTAGTTCAGTCGAGTACCCTGACATGTGAAAAGGAGTAAATGCAAGCCATGGCCCTACATGTGGCTGACCTGGACAATAAGGGCTTTCACTGCAACTTCTGGCTACGAAGCCTCCTCGATGTGGAAGACAACACCAAACCTAAGTGAAATTGTCCTTGAGGTATTTCTTGGCCTCCAAATAATGACATCACATTGAATTTGTATGCTCATTGGGCTCTTAGACCTAGGGGGCTGTTAAATAGTCCTCCAACCGATGTGGTTTGTTGCCTGCCCAATTTTGGTCTTAAAGAGGGTATCTTATGCACAGGTCATGGTGTCATGGGAGCTCCTCTACCAGCAATACCAACTGCAGTTTTTCCTAGATCTCTTTCCAGTGGGTGCATGGATATTGCCAGGCCTTTTGGACCCTCACCCGAATGTTTTCTTCTCAGAAAACAGGATGCCATTGGTAAATACATACTTATCTGAATGACTTCACATCTGATTGCAGCAGACCTTGCATGCCCACAATGTCTTTATATTGACCTAGTGATTTCTGGTATCTGGACCTGGCTTCGTATTGACCTTGTGATTTCTGGTATCCAGACCCGGCTTCGTATTGACCTTGTGATTTCTGGTATCCTGACCCGGCTTTGTCTTGACTCTGAGTATTTCTGTATTTCTGACACTGGTTTATCTTGACATGTTTCTTACTGTATTAATACGTTAAGACCGGCAATTCTAAGGCTCAGTAATATGTCTTTTAGATCCACCTTTTGTGGGTTTCCACTTTACTGCGTGTTGAGGTACGACTCCTGTGACAAGCAGACTTAGGAGAGTGAGTACTTTGCAAATAACTATTTAAAATTCATGCCGTGACCATCCCTATTTACTAACCCTAAATTTACCCCTTCTCCCCAAACCTAAACAAACAAAAAATCCTTTAATTTGATTCTAGGGTAAAACTAAATACCCAATACTAAATTTAACATAGATCTACCCCAAACTCAATCATTCTAAACACTCCTGTGGCGATCCGTTACAACTCCTTATAACACAATCAGTGGCGTAACTACAAACCACAGTACATCGGTGAAAAAAATGTCATGAATACACCCCATGTTTCTCATTACCTCCAGCCCCTCGATGCGTCTCATCCCCCCCAACTCACCCATATGTCCCATTCCCCCAATGTATCTCATTCCCCCTCAGGTCCTCTGTGTATCTCATCCTCCCATGCCCCTCATGTGTCTCATTCCCTCCCCCCCAAAGCCCTTCAATATGTCTCATCCCCCCCCAGACCCTCATTTTGTCCCATATGCCTGTCTCTGTGTGTGTGTGTGTGTGTGTGTGTGTGTGTGTGTGTGGCTGTCTGCCTGCGTGTATGTGGGGACCACTAAGGGACATGGAGAGAAGACCACTAAGGGACAGGCGGAAAGAGAGGAGACTACTAAGGGACAGAGGGGAGACTAATAAGGGACTGGAGGGGAGGGGAGGGGAGAGGAGACCACTAAGGGACAGGGTGGAGATACCACTAAGGAACAAGGATGGAGTGGAAGAGATCTTAAAGAAACGGGGCAAGGTGTGAAAGAGTCACACAAAGGGGCTGGTGGGGGAGAAAGAAGCACCCAGAAGGGTGTGAGTGGGTAGAAAGACATACAAAGGGACATGGGGGGGGGGGGAAACACACAGAAGAGACTTGGGGGAGGAATACACAGAGTGGCTTGGGGTGAAGAAGACACAGATGGCCTGTGGGGGGGAGGGACACATAAGGGCTGGGGAAGGGGGAAAATATACACATAGAGGAATTGGGAAGAGTAAAGGACACAAGGGGGTTGGGAGAGAAGGAGACACACAAAGGGTCTGGGGACACACACAAAATGTGGGAGAATGTAAGAGTCATACAAAGAGAAGGGATAAGAGACACACAAGGGAGGTTTTAAGAGATACCCAAGGAAGGTATCTCTAAGACACACAATGGGGAAAAATAGGGGATGAGATACACTAAAGGGGGTAAGAAATTTAAAAGAGGGGATACAAAACACAAAAGGAGGATTAAGAGGCACACAGGTGAAGATGCTTTTTTAGGGGTGGGAGAGGGGAAGTGGTAATATGCATCTTCGCCTGTGTACCCAAAAATCCTTGCAACAGCCCTGGCTATGGGGGCTATGACGCTACCATACTTGACTCCCTTGACTTGATTTTATGGCCAACTTGGGCCTGGATTGAAGACAAGCAAATTCCCCTTTGATCCCATTCAGTTTTGTTTCATGGTTGTTCATTACGAAGTCAAACTTTCTTCCCATCCACCTTATGTTTTTTCCTCTCCACCCTCTTTTAATTTTTTTCTTCTTTTTTTACATTTACTGTTTGTGGTACACATTATCTGAGGCATGTTTATTCCTCTCTTTAAGATCACTTGTACTGGTGAAATACAAGTCATCACAAGTCATCTATAATAGTTTAATTTAAGTGAGGTGCAAAAGAAAAACTTAAATGCAAAGTGGTAAATGCTGGTACAAGAAATACTACCTAGACATTTATTTATTTTTTATTCAAAAAGTTTTTTATTTTGTTTTAAATTCGCATAACAAGACAGTTTGAAGAAGGTTACAGTAGATATAGGGTGCATGGGTATCATATTATAACATGGTATCTGTTAGTTTACAGAGCATGTAATGATTTAGGCTTAAGGAGCATGCACGGGGGTATGCCAGTAATGTGGAGTTTGACAACTCAGTGGGTTGATTACAGCGTCATGGCAAGTGAAGGTTGCACCATGTGTATATAATGAACAGAGTTTTAGAAACAGTTGCGTGTTTCAAATCATTCAACATTTGTAGTAGGGTGTGGGTATTTTTGCGGTGGTTTACAGTGTTATGAGTTCTACCGGGGAATACGATTCGGTTTTTATTTTGGGGTGGATTATGTATACCTGGCAAGTTTTACTGCGCACATTGCTTGGTATGTGGGGTTTCATCAGTTGGAAGGGTATTCATGTGGGTATCTTATTTGGTAGGGATATGCCCTGGGTCGCGGTGTCGAGGTCCAGTGGGGTGGGTCTTTTATTGGGACTTCGGGCATAGGGCTCGGAGCCTGACTGTTAATGTTGTGAGTGGGGGAGGGTGGGATTTGTGGGCAGCGTTGAGTTGTGTGCCAGGGTGTTGCTGCGTTCAGAGCTATCTGGTAAATGGGGGGGAAGCTGGGGGTTTTTGGCCCGGTAGCTGTTGTGTTGTGTGTAGTGTGAGAGTTGTCTCTGGTGTGCTGTCTTGTGCGTGTCTCTGTCGTGTGTCATGGTCACGTCCCATCAAGACACATGAGGGTATGGTGCGTGCCGTTCGGTCTGTGTCTGGGGAGGAGGAGTGGGGGGGTGAGCGCTGTTTGTCTTGTGCCGTAATTGTTCATCTCTGTGTTGTTATGTCTCTGATGGGTTGTAGGTGGGCAGGGTCGCCCAGGAGGAGGCAAGGCTACCTAGACATTTAATAGAGGAATAAAGTCATAGAGGTACAAAAGGTTTGGAACAGAGCCCTTTCTCAACCACTTTGCATCAGAATTTATCTTTTCTACTCACTGTAATGCATTAACACTGTCTAAGGCAAACATTGCAATTCTTTGGCAGCAGTGGGCTAATACTCATGTACTTTTAGATACGTACTGCAGTCACCTACTACCACTCATTTTTCTATACATAACTTTATTTAAGTTAAGTTTAATTATGATTACACCTGCTAGTTCAGGTGCATAATGACATGTACAATTTGCTCTGTTTTATATATATATTTTTTTCTTTTTACGTTTAGATGGAAAATGCTGGATCCTTGTATTCTTACTCTGTTCCTAGATATGTAATCATTTATTCCATAAACAGAGATTGTAAAAGAAAAACAAGAGAAAACCAATCTTAATTTCTATTTCTTATGTTTATCTTAAAGGTTCAAAAATGAACATGACACTACCTTATTCACTATATCTTCCAACAAGCGAAAACACAGATACACTGCCCCTTGCATTATTTTATCTCCCACCAGAATTTGAAACTCCTAAACCATTAGACGACAGTATATACGTTTACAGTTATCCTGCAACGAGATGGTATGTTAGGTAAGTAACAGTCTTCACATGGTACTTAGTACAATTTAATACTACTTACAAAAACATTGTATCCTTCAATAGTCATTTTTCTTCAACTCTGGTCTCTTTTTTTTAATCTAAAAGGCTATCACTCATTTCCAGGTCTTTTAAAGGTCATTTAAAAGTGGAAGACTACTTTAATCATGCACGAGTTTTAACAATTGAGTTGGCGCAACTGAAGAAACCATTTGAATGTACTTTCTGTTCATGCAGTATCTACAATGGTCTATATGAGCTGGACGACTGTCATAATGAAGTCGCATTCATGCTCAATGATATATAGAAATGTGACTGATTTAATATTGTATTTTGATGCCAAAATGCTTAATGAACTCTGATATGGTAAATGATTTTCTGATGTGCAACTTTTAAAAGATAGCCATCACTTTTCTGTAAATTATGCCATTGAATAAAACTTTGAAAAATCACCTGTAAATTGTGTCCATGTGATACTGTTCGAATAAATTTCCAATTTACTTATCTACAAAAAGTCCAATCTAAACTGTCTTTCTGAGGAGATGTCAATGGCTCCTCAGATACATATATGATCCAGCGCTCAGCCTCTTTCTCTAAAAACAAAGCAAAACTGCCCCCCACCCAGACCAATTTAACATATAAAAAACAAACAAAAAACAAGCTTTAAAGAATTTACAGAAGAATAAAAATGTGGTTATCAAGAAATAAAACTAGTAGTAAATGTCGCGCTGATGAATGCAGATCAATATAAGATGGAAGCTTTAAGAAATCTCACAGACCTCCTATCCTATGTCTGTCTGCTTGGTGACCCAACAAAACTATTCAGTGACACATTGGCCAAGTTAGTCTCATATGGAGAGTCTCTCTGAGTCCTCTCAAAATGTATTTTGAGGATTAATCAAGCACATTTTTTACCATCTTCCAAAGATTCTCAAATCCATGGTAGACCCTCTGGGATGTCCCATAATATCTTGAATAGGATCTTTGAAAGATGGTTTATCCAAATGGCTAGATTCCCAGTTGCAACCTTTGACAGAATTCTGAAAGCTATTTAAAGGGATTGAAAATAGCCAATTGGTATAAGTGAGAAAAAAAAGAGAGAACTTTTCTGTTTTAATTCTTTTTTCCTTTTCTTTGATGTGACTTATTTCACCTCTTAATCGCTATATTAAAAGTTAAGTTTTATTTTTAGAAATACCTAGCCTAATTGGTTGATATTTGCCACTCCACCAGCGATACAGTTATTATTCTCACTCTCACCTGGCAGTTCTCTTCCCCCCGCCGCCTCACTTATTTCTCACTTATTACCCCCCTGCTCCAGGAGGTTAATAATTACATAACCTTTCGTTACTATTTTATTGTCTAGCCAATTGGTATGTTTCAAAATAGCCGGTTGCATGTTTCAAATGGGATAGAAATGATTGATGGTTAGGATTGGATGTTACCGCAATATACTCCTACATTCCACATCAAATAGGAATAGTGATGAACTTTATTTTCCATTAAAGATTCACTGATTTCTCAAAAGAGTTGAGAGAAATCATGATAGAAAGTCTCACAATTTTGTGAACACATACTTTGTTTATGTTTAATGGGGACCACTATCTGAAAAGACGAGGCATTGCAATGGTGACTACATTTGCCCTTTTCCTTCGCTAACATCTACATGATACTGTGGGAATTGTGCTACGTCTTTTACAATGCTAATCCCCATCAAAAAAACATTAGGTCATTGTTAGGGTACCTCCAGTAATAAATGCACAAACCGCCGTTTAGTGAATGCTCCCCGTTCGCAATAATGTGGTCTGGTAGCGTATGCAGTATAACCATGCGAACCGCCAGCCAGGGAAACACTCCAACCTCCCGAACGGTACCTGTACGGCTCCTTCCCTTCACGAGCTCCAAATGAACGAATCGGCAATACTAGCCGAACGCCAATATCTTCCAAGCGGCAAATAATCCCAATAAACAGTCTCTAGTCGCCGGTAATAAAATCCCCCCAATAACGAGACCAAGCTCCGCTTTGAGGGTAAAACACGAACTGAGTTTACTGTGGGCTACCTGCCCGTATTTATGCAGGTCTCCCACTTGGTGGACACTCCCCTAGGGGACCAAATGGGAGACTGGAATAATAGAAGGACATGGGGACATTTCAGACATACATCCCCACAATATTCCCAGCATGCAACACAGTTTCCTCCCCTCTGCTCGGGAGATAATTGAGAAGTAATTCAATTATCTCCCAGAGCAGAGGCAAATCGACAGTTTAAATCAAAGTTACAAAACACATTAAAATACATAACTTTATAACTGTCGAATGTATTGCATTCGTATAACACATCCTCAGATAGCCTGGATCTGAGTGCATATTATTGGCGAATAGCGCTCAGATCCCATACGCATAGTTCAATCGCCATGGAGTCAAAGTCTATTACAGTTCTTCGGTATGCGATTGACTCCATGGGAAGGCTATCTGGGGTAAGTCCATTCGTGCCTTTAAATCTCTCGAACGGCCGGTATTCGTATACTTTTGTCGATTGAGAAGGGGAGGTCGACGGCTTCAGCGGTGTTCGGTTGAAAAAGTGTCCGTTTTTAGTTCCATGGAATAACCGTCGAACACCGCTGGGCTTTCGCATAGTTAAAATGGCCGCCGCCTCGTGGTCGACATACGAACGACGACCACCCTGTATTCGGTTTTAATTGAGAAGTGTCTGTGGTTAACCGCAACGTTCTAATTGGGATCAATAGGTTAACCAGCAGCACACTTCTCTTCTGGGTGGCCATCCGTTCGGTAGTTCCGTTCGACAAAAAAATACATTCCCTTAAACAAGGCATACGAATGGGGAAATTCATACAAACGGCAAAACAGACGAACACAGCAATTCTAGTTCATACAGATGGGTCTGTCACAGTCGTTAGGAAGATTCATCGATGAACTGATAATTTGGGAATGGGACAAGCAATCTTGTCTAGAGTTTGAAAATAGTTTGGATTATAGTAAGTGGAAATTGATGCTCACAAAGGTAACCAATGCAATGGAGATACATTTCTTATAATTGCATCTGGAAGGAAATCATTTAAATCAATCCATCTTAACATCATAATTTAGGGCAAAAACAGCAGGCAACATTTTATTGCTGTCAGACCCTCTCCCCCCACACACTTTTAGAGTTATTACCGCAGTGACATTTATTAGGCTTAGAAGAAATTGTTCCATATTGGATATTCTTGAATCACAACCAAGGGATGTAAAGAGACAACTAGTGCAACATGTTTATTCTAAAATCAATAGAAGCAATAAAATAAAAAAAAGTTAAACTTTGCCCCAAAACAACAATGTAGCTAAGATATCAATAGGAGTATCAAAGAAAACCTCAGTGATAATCCCTCTTATGAATGCAACAGTGTATCATCAATGTGTAATGTGCATTATTTTATCAATAAATATGTGACAGTAATCTGTGTAAGAAGTAATTACTCAAAGAATGCAATAAAAGTATTTAAAGATATACACAATAACAGCAAACAGTGTTACAAATATACAGAAAAAGTGTAATGTATAAAAAGTTGTTGCTTAAAGGACCACTATAGTGCCAGGAAAACAAACTCATTTTCCTGGCACTATATGGTCTTTAGGTCCTCCCCCCCCCACCCTCAGGGTCCCACTCCTGCCAGGCTCTAAGGGGAGGAAGGGGTTAAACACTTACTTTTCTCCAGCGCCGTGCTCCCTCATCACTGGGGACTCTCCTCCCTCTTCGGCTGAATGCGCATGTGCGGCAAGAGCTGCGAGCGCATTCAGTCAGTCATCATTCTCAATGCTTTCCTGTGGAAGCTGGTGTCTTCTCACTGTGAAAATCACAGTGAGAAGCGCAGATGCGCCTCTAGCGGCTGTCAATAAGACAGCCACTAGAGGCTGGATTAACCCATATGTAAACATAGCAGTTTGTTTACAGCAGGCAGGGTTAACCCTAGATGGACCTGGCACCCAGACCACTTCATTGAGCTGAAGTGATCTCAGTGCCTATAGTGGTCCTTTAACATCACATGTAAATCTGGATGATCTATAAATAAACACAAATACAAGACAGACCTAGTGCAACACTGTAAAGTATAAGAAAAATAGGCATCAAATACACAAATTCACAAGAAAGGAGTGGATAAAATACTCGGCCAAGGAGCAGGGTTGGCCCTTTCATAGGACCCAATGAGGCTATGGCTCCTGACGGCATATTGACAGGGGCAGCATTTTTGACGCGCCTGTCAAAATTTAACAAAAGTTTGGGAAAACTCTTGTGTTTCTGGTCAGTGCCTCCGCTGGGGCAGGCTGTGATGCAGCTCCAAACCTGGAAGAAATATCAAGGGCACTCCGGAGGGGGAGGCTGACCTGGGTATGGCTGGGGAGTGAGAGTTATAGACACTATGAATACCTGATGTGCATGCCGGAACTTCAGTGGTTTACTGCACTTGCATACATTGTTGCAATGCTCTGGGCAGGCACCTGGATGGGAGTGGCAAAATCTCCCTCAGTGCCTGATTATCTGGGTGCTGCAGCGACCATGCACTGGCGGCAGAACCTAGAGCCCCCTGATGGAGAAATCGGCAGACAGGAGTCTAGAAGTGAGTTTAGACTCCAGCCAGAAGACACACCACCGCAGATATAGCAAAGGTAAGTGTCATGACTAGCTGCGGTACACACAGTGTGCTGCACAGAGGAAGTCAATCAGAAGCACACACAGACACACACTGCACCCCCAGCAAAGACACACATTGCACCTCCAGCACAGACAATTGCACCCCCAGCACAGACACACACTGTATCCACAGCACAAACAGACACACTTCACCCCCAGCACACATACAGGCACACTGTATCTCCAGCACACACCCACAGACACACACTGAACCCCAGTGCATACTCAGAAACACACTAAATCTCCCAGCACACACACAGATACATACTAAATACCCCAGCGCAAACACAGACGGACACTGCATCCCCAGCACACACAGACACCCTGCATCCCTAACACAAAGAGAGACACACACTGCATCCCCAGTACACACACATACACATTGCATCCGCAGCACACACTCAGACACACTGCATCCCCAGCACATACACACGTTACATCCCTAGCACACGCACAGACACACAGTACATCCACTGCACAAACACAGACACTGTTTTTAATACACATACTGCATAGGATAGTGGATGTGGGCATGTTTTTGTAGGGGGGGTAGCTTTTCATTCTTGGACCCAGGCAGCACAAACTCTTGGGCTGGCCCTGTCAGAGAGGATGAATC